GCGACGAAGGCGGTCGACGGTGAAGTCGTAGACGCCCAACAGCGGCGACATAATAGGCCAGCCGTGTAGGCGGAGGCACCACTCGGCGGCGACGGAGGCAGGCCGGCGGTGAAGTCGTAGACGCCCAACAGCGGCGGCATAATAGGCCAGCCGTGTAGGCGGAGGCACCACTCGGCGGCGACGGAGGCAGGCCGGCGGTGAAGTCGTAGACGCCCAACAGCGGCGGCATAATAGGCCAGCCGTGTAGGCGGAGGCACCACTCGGCGGCGACGGAGGCACGCCGGCGGTGAAGTCGTAGACGCCCAACAGCGGCGGCATAATAGGCCAGCCGTGTAGGCGGAGGCACCACTCGGCGGCGACGGAGGCAAGCCGGCGGTGAAGTCGTAGACGCCCAACAGCGGCGGTATAATAGGCCAGCCGTGTAGGCGGAGGCACCACTCGGCGGCGACGGAGGCAGGCCGGCGGTGAAGTCGTAGACGCCCAACAGCGGCGGCATAATAGGCCAGCCGTGTAGGCGGAGGCACCACTCGGCGGCGACGGAGGCAGGCCGGCGGTGAAGTCGTAGACGCCCAACAGCGGCGGCATAATAGGCCAGCCGTGTAGGCGGAGGTACCACTCGGCGGCGACGGAGGCAGGCCGGCGGTGAAGTCGTAGACGCCCAACAGCGGCGGCATAATAGGCCAGCTGTGTAGGCGGAGGCACCAATCGGCGGCGACGGAGGCAGGCCGGTGGTGAAGATGACGATGCCCATCAACGGTGGTGTGACCAACCGACCGTATAGGCGGGGACACCAGTCGGCGGCGACGGAGGCAGGCCGGTGGTGAAGTCGTAGACGCCCAACAGCGGCGGCATAATAGGCCAGCCGTGTAGGCGGAGGCACCACTCGGCGGCGACGGAGGCAGGCCGGCGGTGAAGTCGTAGACGCCCAACAGCGGCGGCATAATAGGCCAGCCGTGTAGGCGGAGGTACCACTCGGCGGCGACGGAGGCAGGCCGGCGGTGAAGTCGTAGACGCCCAACAGCGGCGGCATAATAGGCCAGCTGTGTAGGCGGAGGCACCAATCGGCGGCGACGGAGGCAGGCCGGCGGTGAAGATGACGATGCCCATCAACGGTGGTGTGACCAACCGACCGTATAGGCGGGGACACCAGTCGGCGGCGACGGAGGCAGGCCGGTGGTGAAGTCGTAGACGCCCAACAGCGGCGGCATAATAGGCCAGCCATGCAGACGGAAACACCAGTCGGCAGCGGCGAAGGCCAGCCGGTCGGTGAAGACATGGACGCCCATGAACGGTGGTGTGACCAACCAACCGTATAGGCGATGACACCAGTCGGCGGCGACGTAGGCAGGCCGGTGGTGAAGTCGTTGTTGCTATCATCAATGGCGGTGGCGAGGACAAGCCGGCGGAGTGGACTCGCGGCCGATCGACTGGAAAGCTGAGACGCCTCGAGTCCATGACCAGCATCAATCGCCTCAATAGTGCCGCGTAGTTATATGCGAACAACAACAAAAAATAGCAAGAAATTAATCTGAGATTAGAAATCAATCTAACATATATTGATAACAAATTGAAACGAAAAACTCAAGTCGAGCAGTGAGGCTGGATCATGAGTGATAGCCGGCGACGTGCCATGCAATATGTATAAGCCCCGGCAACTAACAGCTAACTCGATGTTCTTTCGGCATGATGCCATCATCGGAGGTAGCCGGCGGAGCCCATCAACCATCATACATGCAAACAGGAATCGAACTGCACATGTGTACATGCAATGGAAAGCAATTAGTAGATTAATTCCAGTCTGCATATACGTGTTGATTAATAAATCAAAAGATGCGTGTGTTTAATTTGCTCCTGGCGGCCTGTGCCACTCCTGCAACACGTCCATCTGCAAGGAAAGGAAGAGAGGAGCACTCGGACACGGCAAGGGCACCCAAGTAGGCGACGATGATGGCCGTGTTTCGATCTCATCCAGTATATGAAATTCGTCAAAATATCAGGAAATCAAACAATGATTAAAAATTAATCTAATAGAGATTAAATTGGAACGGTAGACCCGATTGAAGATTTGAGCCATCGAAATTGATGAGATTGATCTCGGGGTTTCTTCTGAAGTTGATTCCATCGCACTTTTCGACAGGTAATTCGACGCAACCCCTACCTGGCGCGCCAACTGTCGAAACATGATTTCGGCAATAATAAAAGGGGGTAGCGTACGAGACCTAAAAGTGGATGGATGTGGAGACAAAGGATTTAGACAGGTTCAGGCCCTCTCAATGAGAGGTAATACCCTACTCCTGTTTGGGGATTTGAATCCGCCGGGTGTAGTATAGATCTGACGATCAGGTTGTGTCATGCCCCCTAGAGGGCCTCCTGCCCACCTTATATAGGACGGGGGGCAGGATTACAAGATAGAAACCTTAACCAATACGGTATCGGTTTCCTAAATCTACTTTACAATCTTATCAAACCAGGACTTTAGGCCGTTTCATAATATACAGGGAAACGTAATACCCAAGTCATGATCTGTTACATATTATATATATATAAGTTATCCCCTATAACTAGTCGGATAACCACGCCGTGTGGGTATGGGGTATCCATAATCTCCACACGTATAAAATTTGGAATATAATATTGCTCTGAAAATTTATATTTGATGCATGTGTTTCTCAAAAACAGAACAATTTATTTTGTAACAAGTTCGTCTTCAATTTTTTTACCTGTTTATCATAAAACCCAACGTTTAAATTGGAGTAATGCTGAACCAAAAGTCTCTGAAAATGTGAGCTGACCTGCTGACGTAGCATATATAGGGCCGGGGGCTGATCGCTTGCGATTGCTGCTGTGCAGCTTCAGCTGGCCTCGCGGCAGCTACAGCGGCTGCAGCTAGCCCCTAACAAGAAGCTGCTCTCTGCAGCAGCAAGCAGTGAACGGTCAAACATTTTTCACCGCTGGCTGTAGGATTTTCCACAGCTGCAGCTCAAAATGCATAGCAATCAGAACCAATCAGTCTCATAGTTTTGGTTATAAGATACTTGTATGTATGTTCAAGTCATATAGACTCAGTACGACTGCTCGTAATTTTTTAAGTTTTAATCTTGAATGACAGTACGTACATACATCAGGGGCGGATCCAACGTGGGTGTAGGGGGGACTCGTGTCCCCTCACACCCATAGGACCCAAGATACCCCCGAGCACCCCTTTTAATTTTTTCACCATAAATGATAAACTAAAGATCCCTATATGGTTGGAGGTTGAAGAAATTGTGTAATTGAGCCCCCCAATTTTTTTTTCCTAGATCCGCCTCTGCATACATGGGACATTTAACTATTTGCTATACTGACTCTTAACTTTTTATCACTCATCTGTGGGTGCGTACAGTAATCAAAGCATGTACACCCACGCGCCATATAAGAGAGGCGCCTGTCTAGCTTAGGCATATGATAGGTTATACGATCACATGGTTGTGTACTTGTGTATGGTCGTGAATATTAATCTCTCTAAATGCTGTGGGATTGCTGGAGAAATAGCGCGCCACGTCAGCCTATTTTTGCAAAAACAGCCCTGCGCTTTCATATATATGATGGGTGCTCGTGAGGGCATGTACGCCTCGTACTTGTAGTTAAAAAAATGTTTGTGAAAATTAATCATCGAAACTACCGGTTTTACTTAAAAAGTTTTTAAAACAATCATCAGAACCCTGTTATAGGTTACACGCTAAATATGGTTGTTGTTGGATGCATCATAGAATTTATATATATTTACTCTGAAAAGTAATTTTATGCTCTTTTGTGTTTCTCCAATATGTTATATATAGTTCCATATGCGTATCATATATATATACATGCCGTTGCTTGTTGGGGAAATTTGCTTGTATCTACTCCATTCCATAATAAACTTATTTTTGGCTTCTCATATTTGTCCTAAAATAAGTTCGTTTTGAGTAATTATTATAACGGAGTTTGTAAAAGTAGAAAATAATTACATTGGGAGTAGATAAAGTGGGGAATAATTACATTGGGATTTGACAAAATGGGATATCTTTTCTACTTTGGGGGTGTTTAGATCCAAGGGTATAAAGTTTTGACGTGTCACATCGGGTATTATATAGGGTGTCGCATGGGGTGTTTGGGCACTAATAAAAAAATAATTACAAAATCCGTCAGTAAACTGCGAGACGAATTTATTAAGCCTTATTAATTCATCATTAGCAAATGCTTACTGTAGCACCACATTGTCAAATCATGGAGCAACTAGGCTTAAAAGATTCGTCTTGCAAATTAGTCGCAATCTGTGCAATTAGTTATCTTTTAGCCTATATTTAATACTTTATGTAGGTGTTCAAACGTTCGATGTGACTGGGTGAAAAATTTTGGGTTGAGATCTAAACAGGGTATTTGTATTGGTATGTGTATGATGTGTGAAAAAAATAAAATTATTTTGACATATGGGGGAGTATTACTTAATATTTATCTCATTCATGTGATATGAGCCATCATAATTATCCAAAGAAAAAAAAGAGTAAATTTTACAAAACTATAGAAAGTTCGGTCAAATTATTACAAAACTACATATTTAATTTAATGTACAACAAAACTACATATTTAACACTAATAAATTTATCACCGAACTATAGATTTAAGGTAGAGTATCGTAAAACTACAAATTTAATAACAAAGTGAACGCAAAACTACAGGTCTAATATCAATTTAATCACAAAACTTGGATAGATGTAACTTAAACATAACATTAGTGCTAAGGATTTAAACCCGAAAATCTATAATTTGGTGATAATTTTATTATTAAATCTGTAATTTGTGATACTTAATCTTAAACCTAATAAATTTATTGTTAGATCTGTAGTGTTGTGATATATCAACTTAAATATATAATTTTGTGATAATTTGATAAAGTATATGTAGTTTTGTGAAATGAGCTATATGTATGCATGTTTTTGTACCAGGAGCTCTCAGGAACAAGTAAACGAGCGTAAGCCGTGATGTCTCTTGAGGTCAGGCACCCTGCCCGCCCGGGGTGCATGCTGACGCTTCACGGCGACGCCGACGCGATGGCCTTCCAGTGCACCGGCTGCATGGAAACCGGCAAAGGCCCAAGGTACACCTCCGGCGACCACGTCCTCCACACGTACTGCGCCCTCGCGACACCCACGCTGCAGCACCCGCTGGTGGAGGGTATCATGGAGCTCCGGCTCGTCGCCCCCACCGGCGGCGACGCCGTCCGCTGCGACGCCTGCTACGACGCGGTGCGAGGGTTCCACTACCACAGCTCCACGAGTGGCGTGGACCTGCACCCAGGTTGCGCCAAGATGCCGAGGTCCATCACGCTGCGGGGGGGCACCATCTTCGATCTCCGGACGGAGGTGTCTCACCGGTGCACCAGCTGCAAGGCGATGGAGGGGTTCTACCGCCCATGGTTCTACCGCTCCGAAAACAACCCTGACCAACGCATGTACCTGCACGTCAAGTGCATCAAGGAGATCCAGGACGCCGGCGACGACGACGAGGTGAGGATGATGGTCCGCCTACAAGAGCGTGCTGGCCGGAACGTTAGGCTAGAGAGGCGCGTATGCAAAACGCTTGTGATCATGGTGCGCATCGTCTTCAGGCTGCTCATCGGGGACCCGACACCGATACTCACAGAAGGAGTGAACGCCATCGTCTCCATGGCGATGCAGTAGCCCCATCCGTCAGATCGTTTTGGTCACACCTTAAGGCCGTATATCCTCGTTTTATTCATGCCATCTAAATAGTTCACAAGAGTTTATAAATAACTAACAACATGGAATATGGTACTCCCTCTATATTTTAATGTATGACGCCGTTGACTTTTTGAACAACGTTTGACCATTCGTTTTATTTAAAATTTTTATGAAAATATGAAAATATTTATGTCAAGCTTAAAGAACATTTGATGATTAATCAAGTCACAATAGAATAAATGATAATTACATAAACTTTTTAAATAAGACGAATAGTCAAACATTGGACAAAAAGTCAACGGTGTCATACATTAAAATATAGAGGTAATATATCATATCACGATATATACACTCCACAAACCTATATATAGGGGGGCTAAATATAATTCAACCTACATTTTTATGGAGAAATAAAAAATCATACCAGCTGTGAAGTCGTGCACAGACTACACACCTGTGTTTTTTTATACTTATGCATAATATGCCATCATCCATTTATAGGTTGAATTTTAGATATGGTTTCATCATATTTTGTTTTGTTAAAAACATTTAGAATCTTTTTGTCACTATTTATATGGCATGCATAAAGCGTAGACATACATCCTTTATTAGGTGTCCAAACTCAACTCCCTTCAAATTTATATATACATGTGTGTGCGTGTGTGTTGGCTTGCATCCATCGTTATATTAATAGTCCTCATGCATGTGTCGTCCTAGCAAAAAAAAAAAAACAAAAAGACTCATGTCTAGTATGTACTGCTACAGTAATAGTACGCTATGCTTTGGTTGTGTTAAATTTGTTGTCCATATATATTTGACATATTAGCAGAATGTGTTTACTATTAAGATATATGTAGATGCATTGAGTCCAGCGGCTGATGTAATAAGCCGTTGCTCACTACACCGTATATGTAAAAACTTCTTGTTAATGTACTCATCCGTTCAGTGTTATTGAGTTAAAAAAAATCAGAAAAGACGCAATTCAGTTGCTGCGTCGCAAAAAAGTCTCTGCTTCTGCATTTTCTTTCCATGCAGTACTAGCTAGCTATCACACTTATATGCAAGGTTAATTAATATAGCAAGGATGCATTACAGGTTAATATAACCATGAAATATTAGACATAGTGGATGAGTTCAATGGAGCCTCTATATACTTTACACGATGTACAAATCGAATTCGATCTTTTTATTTTTGGAATCGGACAAATTAATCTCCCACGTTCTGAATAAAGCTAAAACTAAGAGCAAAAGAAGACTAGCATATGTCTGATTTTCCTCTGGCTCTTATTCCACTACCACGCCGCAGTTACGAGAAAAGATCAGAGACCCACTAAGCAAAACTCACAAGTTCGTGTTCTCATTGGTTAGAGGAACGTCCTATTAGATAGGAGTATGACCCATCACAAGTAATTAACTGTGTTAAATGAACTTATACAACCGTTACAGATCAACTATAGGTACTCTCTCATTTTATTTAATATATAATATCGTTATAACTTTTGAATATTCATCTTATTTATAAATTTTGTGCACATCTTAAAATTATAAGAAAAAATTAAAGTTCATTTAGTGATAAATCATGCCACGACAAAACAAAATATATTTACTTATATTTTTTTAATAAGATAAATGATTAAACATGATGCAAAATATCAACACATCATATATTAAAAAACAGATGTAGAAATTTTTTTATTCGTGTTATGGATCATTTGTATAATGTATGACAGGTTAACTCATTTTTGTGTCCCGCCGTCCCATTTCTATTAATAATTGAACTCTATCTATTATCCCAATGCATAACCATTTGATGTATCTGCTAGCGTAATATTGCCATTTTAGAAGATATCAAGGGGTGGCACGATCTTGTGGTGACGACGAACGATAACTCGAAAGTAGCTACAGATCATGTAAAATCAAAGTGTGTTTGATTCTTATTATGTGATGAACAATTGGCATCTGAGATTATTGGCTTCGATATTTGGAGATTATTGGTGAAGTGGTTTTGGAGATGATTGGATTTGCAGGTGTTAAACAGGTACCGCTGGAGATTTGGTCCGGTCAGATCGGGCATGGGTTGCCACCGGCCAGCCCGCGGTCTGACCGGCCGACTCTGTGTCGGTTTCGGTTTCGGGTTGTTTGATTGGATATCCATGAATGTTTCATGTTTATGGCTTCTAGATGGATTTTATGCGTATGTAATACTATTGTTTGCTAACAATGAGTCAAGTTGGAGATAGTTTGGTCTCGGAATATGGTTTCTTTGTTTGATTCATGTGTAGGCGACTTGATGTCTTGAGATAGTATTGTCGGTGATGGATCGGGAGTCAACTTGGAGATAAGGTGACATCTGGACAGTCAGATATCATACAGGATACTTAGGCTAAAGATCAATGCACGTGGTTGGTGAATATTCTATATAGCATACGATTGAGATATTGTGTGCGTATGGGATGCAGAGTCGAATTTGGAAGGAGTCCAAATTTGGTACAATTGGAGTTTGTAAAGTTGGTTTCTTGCACGGGAAGGTTTCTTAGGTGGATTAGGACTTCTTATATGAGTTTGGTTCGTGGCTTTAGGCTGCCTACCTCATGTATAAATAGAGAGGGAGGGTGAGGCCTCCCGGTATTGCTTTAAAGAACATTGAGTTGAGAGAATAGTTAAGGTTTCGAGTTTAGTCGAGATTTTCGTGAGGAGTGTTGTTGTTACACTTTATAAACATAGATAGAAGTAATAAAGTTAACATCTACATTAAGAGTTCTTCGATTTGTGTTTGTACGGGTTCGGTGGTCTAACTGGCGGATCACCGGCGGCCAAACCGGTGGCATCGCAGCGGTTAGACCGACGGCGGCTTCAAGTGGCAGCTTCAGATCTTGGTGGTCTGACCGGAGAATCAATCTCAATCAGACTGATAGCTTCCAGGCGGTCAGACCAGCACATCCTTCGGTCAGACCATGATCTGTTAAAATTGAGGGTAATTTTTATTTTCGCTAAAATTTTTTTTTTCACCAACTATTCACTCATATCTGGTTAGCTTAGTTCTTACTGTTCGGTCCTCGGTCCTACAGATCAATCCTCGCAGCAACCTTGTACCCATCTACAAGACCTCAACGACGGCAATCACACCACAACCTTCACAAATCTAATCCACACAATCACGAAGGCGATTGCACAAACTGATTGACAAGGACAGTCAATCCAAGCAACTCCGAAGAATTAGCAAGAACTATAATAAATTAATCTCTCAAGACTCAAGTTCACAGGAAGCTTTGGTTAGACTCTAATTATTTCCTAATCGTGCATGCACACATGACCAGCTTGGTTGACTTGATTAGTTAAGTAGGTGGACCCTCAGGAACAGTACTCCATCTTCTTGGAATCACACGCTGGTAACTGGAGCTGTTGCTTCGTATGTCATATTTTCTTCTATTCCATGATCAGCAGCAACAGTAACATCGTTAATCCTGTTAATATAAAAGCATGTATTTTTATTAGACAGTAACATGTTCTTATCTAAATTAACATTAGCTCGAAACGAATTCACCTTATCATGATCAAGATCAGGTGATGTTAAAACAAGTTTATACTTAGAGCGATCCGTATCAATATATACCAAAATGATCTTTTAAGTACTTATAATTAGCTTAAAATTTCTTATCACTACAGATTTTTAAACGGAGTGTGTGTAGGGCGATATTTTTGATTTCTGGTATCGTGGACGGCCGTCAAAAAGAAAATGTTCTGTTCTTTCTCCTGGTCGATAATATAGAGTGTAACTATATAAAAGTATCACATTAACTTATATATAATTTTTACATTCTACGTAGTAATTCTTATTTCTTAACATACCTTTTCTTAACTATTCTTAACTAATCAGTTATAAGATTAAGGTTTTATTTGGGTACGATTCTTCCACGGCACGCGTAAATAATCTGCTTTATGCAGATATACTACTAGTCTAGGTTTAGGGTGGGAGTATCTCTGATGTACGTAGAAGACTGACTTGGCTAGCTAGCTCAGTACCTCTCCAACGTTGGAGTCGTCGATCGACAGCACGCATGCAGCACGATAGCTCCATGCCTGGAACAGGTGAAGCCTCCAGTATCTGTCCATGACTCCCTAGTAAGAGTAGACGCCCCTACATAATCACATACTACGTATAGAAACAATATAGAAATCATAAATTTAAATCAATCTAAAAAAAAATATGTGTGCAAGATTCTTACAGTCAACAGGATGCATGGATACAACAAATAGCGATAATGTAATTAAGTCCGCAGATTGTTCTTTATAAAGTGTATTTCGTCGAAGTTTATTTCGTAGTATTTGTATTTTACAATTTTTCCATATATCTAACAAATAATATTAAACTTAATTATGTGTACATATAAAACGTCTTCAAATTAATTCATTTAAATAGAGAGCCACGATAATTAAGACAATCCAGACGGATTTTATTTATAAAATTGTTACATTCTTTTTGGGCTAAAATATGTGTATTACTATTGGAAAATGTACGAAATGTTTTTAAAACTTTAATTCAGTGATATTTATTAGTTGGTATGTGGTGTGTGCGCACATCCGAAGGATAATTTCGCACATGATATATATACGTCATTATGTCAGATCATATGTCGGCACTGATGACCTGCGTCTTCGTCCTGGTCTGTGCTTATACTCATTTTCGGGGGATCGATTTTCACAGGCGGGCATGTAATTCGGAGCCAAACCCTGCCAGCAAAAAAAGTACCCGGGGTGGAGGGGGCGGTCCGCCTGCGAAGATCAATCTTCGCAGGCGCCGCTTATATGGCCCGCCTGAAAAGATGCCCCTATATAGTCTTCTTCCTCCTTGAGCCCTGTTCATTCTCCCCGAAGTTTCTCTCTCCTAAAGTGACTTAAATATAGGGGGGAGGTTTCGAACTTCAAATCTTCGGGGATTTTTCTACGGTACTTAGATCTACTCATTTCCACACTAGGTA